GGGCGACTCAGCTCGCTTCATTATTGTCCTGTCTTTCTCGTCCTTGAGAGCTCCACGGAGGAAATTCCACGCGTGGAAAGCGAGCTCTACTTTGTCGTGCGGGTAAAACTTAGACAGTTGGACTTTGCTCTGCCCACTGTTTACGGGGATCTCCGCCCCCCCCTCCTCGAAAAGCTCAAGAAGGTTTGCTGTGTTCGCTGCCATCAAAAAATCCTCTAGCCACGAAGAAAAGCTCTTGGCGTCTCCGCTGAACGTGGGCGCTGTGTACTTCACGCTTTGGTATCCCACGCTCGCACTACCGAAGACAGCAGCACCACTTCCCATGGCGCTGCTGAAACAAGCTTGATTGTGAGCAGCGGCTACTCTCACCTCTTGGGGGTCTGAACCCCCTACTTCGCCGCTGTGTCGTCCCGAAGGACCAGACTCTCTTCGCAGGTCCGCTGCCTGCGCGCTCCCGTCGTACTGCACGTTCCCAAAATGACCTGCAGTGCTTGTGGCGACGCTCTCCACGGCGCCGCCGCTTTCAGCGGCGCCCTCCGTGGCACCGCCGGACTTCTCCTCTATACGTGCAGCAAGTCCTCCGACCAGCTGCACCAGCTGGCCCATTTGCTGTGTCAGCGAACTGATCTCAGACCGCATGCTGTCGATCTGCTCGCTGCTATTTGTGTCTCCTGCCTGCGAGCCGTCCGGAGTGGTCCCTCCGGTTCTGCGGCCCGCCATCCCTAATGGACTCCCTCGAGGGAATAAACACTAGTGTGTTGGTATGACCGTACTTGGGAGGATAAGACACGCTTTAACCCTCTCTGTTGGGCACCCGCGGGAGCGAGGAAAGGAAGGGAAGAAGTGGCCCTCCCGAATTCGGGGAAGGGGGCCCACACATGGTAGCCATTTTCAGGCATACGCATGCTCCTGTCTACGGACCCCCCCGTGCTGCTATTAATAGCAGATCTACCATGCTCGTATCCAGACACACGAACACTCAACGTGGTCGTGGACAACCGTGTCAACGACAGAACCTTCATCTATCTCTAGGAGCAAGCTACCGCCCACGGCTTCACTCCTTGAAACTTGGCGTCAGCTGGCATTACACGGTAAGCGAGTGCTGGACGCGGCTTCCACACTGCTGTGTGTTGTTGCCACGCTTTTTTTACACCACCGGGTTGCTTGTTATTCGCTCTCACCACCCACAAGAATCTAGACTTTGCCTCTCCTCTGCTTCCTCTCTTGTAGAGATGCTGGCTTGTAATGCTTTTTGCGAAGCGCCCGCGGGACTGGGACCTTGCAAAGGATACGCGCCTCGAAGGCCATCGCGATGTTTTGGGTGATTTCTCGTACGTTCGCCGTCCCTCGAAAGCTATTTTGTCTGCATCGGCGGTCCATGAAGTGATTTCTGTGGCGGATACCCTCTGCATGGAGCGTCCTGAGTTGCTGGCCTTGTATAGTGGGACCCGAGATGACAGCATGCTTCCCACGTCTGCTACCACCTCTACTGCATTCATGCCGGCGTACCGGCCGATGTCCGCGGATTTTCCTGTTGTGCTCTCCGATTTGACTCCGCTTGCATCTACTTGGAACCCGATGTGTGCACACAAATTGGGTGTCAGCCGCCCCACCAGCCTTCCCTCCATTTTCGAAATCACATGGCACTTTTTTACGGGGAATCGTTCACCCTCAAAGCATTTGAATTGGAAGCCTTTCAACAGCGCAAACCCACAGCGGTCTTTGCTCGCACTTCGGCACCAGTTGCGGAGGAACGCCGTGCTGCTCTGCGTGTCCTTTGGTCGGAAAACCTCGTGTCTCCATGCAACAGGGCCCTTTTGTGCTAGCTGCTACTGCTGTTTGTGCGTGGCATATGGTGTGCTTCTGGACGCTTTTTCTGCTGGTTGGATCCGCTTCAACCTCGTGTGCACCAAGCTTTTATCACTGGGCGTATGCTATCTTGTGGATATCTCCGCCTTTCGCATGGACCTCGGCTTGCTCTAGGGTAAATTCTGTGGGTGGAGAGTGTTAAGGAGGACCCGATTCGCAGGGTATCCGTCGATTGACTTTTACCTGAATCGGTACACCTTCGCATATTATATGGCGTCAGCTGGATACTGGTTCGAATCTCCTTGGGTGCACAGTTTTGCTCCTGACTTGGATATTTTTCCATGGACACAATGTGTGTCAGTCCTGAGAACACCTCTTGGAGTCGATCCTACAAAGGACCTTGTGCCACTTCCATCGAATTACCCATCTTGGCCACATGAGGTTCCCAGTTGAGGGTAAATTCTGTGGGTGGAGAGGGGTAAGGAGGACCCGATTCGCAGGGTATCCGTCCATTGACTTTTACCTGAATCGGTACACCTTCACACTCTTCGGTGGATCGATTCGGGATATTTCTACAAGTCACCCTCTGTTGTATATGTCCGCGACTTGGAAGGGAGAGACTGAATATCGCTTGTATTAGAAACGCAGAAGCAAGAGAAGAGAAGAAGAAGAGTGCTTCCGGAAAACAGAGAAGCAGGGGTCACAAACACAAGAACCTCAAAATGGAGTATGTCTACGTTCCTATCTGCGAATATATCCGTTACTGCGGTCGATCAATACCTGTCCGTATCCAAACACACGAACACCCTCCCTGGTTTTTCACGCAAGTGGCAAACCATCCGTGGGGCATGGTTACCCCTGATCAGACCTAGGGACTCTAAACAGTAACGGTGCAAGGGAAAACCCGGCCATCCGGATCAAAAACCCTCGCCTACCCTAAACATATATAACCGTCGCTATCACGGAGGATTCCAACGGCCGCACTTCCAAGACAAGATCAAGGCAGGACAAATTGTACCGGGCACGGGGATTACGCATCTCTCGGTAGCGCTACGGGCGCTTCTAGGCTCCAACCTCGAGTGACGTGCCGGTAAATCCTTCCTGCGTGACGTACCATGATCATAAAGTCCAGTGCTAAACAACAACAAAAAACAGACCACTACCCCGGGATGTTCATCAGAGCATTCCGGTGGTCTTCTAGTTTGGTCCTACCAAGAGCCTTGGTGAGAAGGTCGGCGTGCTGCTCGTCAGTCGGGATGTACTCGACGGAGATTCTGCCCGACTTGAACAGCTCTCGAATGAAATGGAACCGCACGTCGATGTGCTTGCTCCTCGCCGAGCTAAAGGGGTTCTGCACCAACGATATCGCCCCCTGGTTGTCCTCAAGGACCTTGATCTTCGCCCCACTCGTCTCAGGCGCTATGAAAGACAGCACCGCACGCACAAACAAGGCTTCTTTCACGCCTTCCCCGGCTGCAATGTACTCAGCCTCCGAGGTCGACAGAGACACGATACGCTGCGTCTTGCTAGCGTGGCTGACCACGGTACCACCAACAGTTACGGCTATTCCCGTCACCGAACGCCTGCCGGTGTCCCTGTCGGCGTAGCTGGCATCAACATACACCTCTAGGTCTAGCCCCGAACCCCGAACGTAGGTGATGCCGAGGTCCATCGTGGCGTTGAGATAGCTCAGGATCTGCACGAGCGCCTTCCAGTCTCGCATGGTGGGCG